CCTCGTAGCAGCCAAAGCAGGCGCCATCATAACTAGTACCAGCCGGCCAGACGACTGTGTCTTCTGGATCCGGTACGAACACTAAAAAGTCGGGGCCCATTATGTGGTTTGTGATAAAGCTCCCCACTTTCTCTTGCATGGCTGTGATCCGGCCCCGAGGTACCGTGCAGTAGTAGGGGGTATTTTGCTCTCGGTGAGAGGCGGATGGCTCCGCCCAATTGTCCCCCTTCTCAACTGCTTGAGAAAGCCTCGCCTCTTGTAGGCGACTGTTTTTCTCTTCTGTGTCCAGAGAAGCATGGCCAGAAGAGCTAGACTCAGATTCGTCCTCTGACGAGTCCGAAGAGGACGACTCCTCCCCTCTCCCAGAGGGGCCCGCCTCCTCTCCTTTAAAAGGAGCAGGAGAGAATGTAGAATTGTCAACTGTAAAATGGGAAGGGGTCACTTTGACTCCTCCCTCAGAACTGCCGGCTTTCAAGCCGCTTTGTTTCACTTCCACATCTGGCGCCTGGTCAGATGTTTCACTAATCGGCACCCTGTGGGAGGAGTCGTCTGAGTTTGAGATCCTGGCAGTCTTTTTTGTTCTGGCCATCATGTTATGCATAGACACAGATACAGTCGGACTTTGTATAAAGGGCAAAGATGGGTCCAGAAAAGGGCAGGCGGCACTCCTAGTCCTAGATTCAGCCGTCCCCGGTGACCGGCTGATCACTAACCTAGGTCGTGTCGTGTGCTTCCGTGGTGCCATTTCAAAAAAGAATAAAGTAAAGAGAAAATTAAGAGTAAGAGAACCGACGGTTACCTGAACGAGTGACGATTGATGAAGTTCTGAAAATCCTTTGCAGTCGGCTTGTCAGAGCAGGCGGTAGGCAGAAAGGGTCCAAAATGTCAGAGCAAGTTCAGGGGTCCGAATGTTCTCTCACAAAGTTCTCAAGTGTGAAAATGACCGAAGACAGCACTCCCACCAATCGGAATGCGCCACGTGGGCCAATCGGGTCCTGCCAAGTGTCCCCCAGCTGGACCTCTCAGGGCTTGCCACGTGGCACACTCTTATTCGTCCACCCTGGACCTATTATGTCATGACACGTGGCATACTCCATGCCTAATGGAGAAGTCGGCCACCTAGGCCCAACTTCCGAGGGAAGCCCAATCAGCCCAAGGTTAACCTAAACCTAGGATTGTCACGTTTCCCGAGGTTATAAATACCCCCCTTAATCCTCATTAAGGGAGATTACGCAGATTACGCACATTAAATACTCTCACCTAGAGAGACCCAATCACTTTAATTTCCGCATTAATTACTCCTTAATCAAGTACTAACTTGACCGTTGGAGGCGGATCTCCAATCATCCGGAGCATCCGTTTGTTTTGCAGGTACAGGCGTCCGGTTCCAGTCTCGGAATTGTAACTCTCCCGCAGGACATCAGAAAACCCTGAAACAGAAGGAGTAATGTCTTCGTCGTGTGCAATTACTAGATATATAAATGGATCAAATTATGGAGATATTTAAGTTCGTATATTTGGGTCGTCGTTTTGCCATAGCTAGAGGTACTAACGATCTTTGGACTAGTAAAATAGGCCAAAGCCTAATTAGACGGATCCTATAAAGTCACACAAAGGGCCTAGATTTTGCACAAGAGGACGAGGCCCATCATGGGCCTCATCCCCTATAGTGGCCGGCCATATGGAGTGGATAAGAGTGTTTTGGGCTTCGTGCCCTAGTCTAATTATAATAGGATTATAAATAGACTAGGTGCCTAGGGTTTGTAGTATACAATTAATTGATAAATGTGATCAAACCCTAATTAGAAAACACGAGACCTAGCCCTCAGAAACTCTCCTCTCCTCTCTCTCACGGCTCTCTCCTTCCCGGCACCTCCTGTTGTGGTTCGTGGTGGTCGGTCCTTGTCCTGAAAAGGTGGTGATCGCGGTTTTCCTCAATCACTCGATTAATCTAGTATTGGTGGACGACTCGTTCGAATCTCGTGGACTAAGTAGAGGAGAAACGCTTGGGGCTCTATTCTCTCCCTGATTTGCCTGTCGAATTGCTTCGTGAAATTCACGCATCAAAGGTATGATTATGTGTCTTGTGTGTTATGCATGCGATTCTTGGTTTAGGTGCTTTATGAATATGATTTATGCAAAGTTAAGGCCACCTCTGGTGTATGTAGTATCCTTTCACTTGGTAACTAACATGCTCACTAAAGTTTTAACTGGCAGAGTGATGCAGTGCTATTATGTTACTTCTAGCTTTTGTGTGATTTAGATGCAATTTTAAAGTATTGGCTTAGAAAATCTTGAAGTTGCTGGCAGTGGCATTTATTAACTTGTGAAACCTATACTGGTACTTTGTTTATTTTTGTAGAGAAAACCATAAGCTGCTAAGTGGAAAACAACTCCATTTCATCACTATAATGTACTTTTGAAGCTTTTTTCCAAGGATATATAAAGCAACAGGTGAAATTTCTGGAACTGCAAAGGAGAAGAAAATGAAGGATATGGATGAATCAAGCTTTGAGAAGAAGGATGAAAGCCTTGGAGAAGCCCAACCAAGTGATTCTGCCGATTCATTCAACCGAAAAGTCAAGAAAAGAAAAACAGAGGAAGTGTTTCAAAATGAGCTCCTATTAATAAAAGAAGGGTTGGACAATGTGGCTCAAGCTCTTCGAGAGGGAAATGTAATTGTTGAGAGAGGTTGTGCTCAAGTGTATTCACCACAAGAGGTTTTTGAAGAGTTGTCAAAGATGGAGATTGACTCGTTAACTTGTCGCAAAGCCTATAGGTTCTTAAATGCAAAACAGTAAAGGATACGAGAGCTATTTGGTTGTCCACCGGAGGAAAGAAAGGACTATTTGATAGAGATGATGCTCGATGAAAAAAATTAGAAGTGTGCTTTTGAGTCCTTGATCATAACAAAAAAAAAAAAAAAAATTCAATGATAATTTTTTTTTTTTTTTTTTTTTTTTGAAATAGCCAATCAATGAGAATATTTTAGGTGATATAAATTGTAATGTCTATACTTTTCAATATTATTGTTAGTTTTTTCACTATAAAATATTATGCTTTTGATTGCAAATTTTATTAAATTTAATTGATTATTTAAAAGCATTCCAAAAAAATAATATATAAACTCAACTACTCAACTATAATGTTACAAAGGATGAAAAAAATAAATAATAAATAAATTAATAAATTTTTTATATCCAATACTCCAAAAAAATTACTCTAAAAAAATGAAGTGTAGTCCAAAATGAAAAATATGAATAATACTCATAGATATTTAAAAAAGAAAATGGAAAAAAAAGAAGCTATGTCATCTTCTTCCTGCTGCTACGACCGCTATTACCAAGTATTCTTCCCTCCCTTCCCTTCCCTTTCTCTTCTATCCAAACAAGGGAAATAAAAATTCTTCCTCCCTCCCCTCCCCTTCTTTTCCCTCCCCACTTTATCCCTTCCCTCCCTTTCCTTCCTAAAAAGCTATACAAGCAGAGTGTAGATGATTCAGCTTCAAGCTTCTTCACTTGGGATGATAATTGAACTGAGGCAAGACCCAATTTGAAAGATATTTTGGACAAATACTCCATACAAAACACAACCAAACAAGGAGACACATGGTCTAACATATGGTCTCCTTGTCTTAACCCCCGATTATTTGCCCTAAAAAATGCCAGTCAAATTCCTATTTATGTAAATGAATAAAGGAGAAGAGTCACAAGCCATAATTAGCTAAATGAACTTGCTTGGGATGTTCAAAGCAGTCAGCATAAATGAGTAATGTGTTTCTGGAAATTAGGAATACATGAGTAACGTGTTCATATTGAAGTTTGTGCCAAGAAAAAACAAATTAAGGAAATTAGGAATACATGAGTAACATGTTTCTGGATTTTTGTTTGTGTTGGGCTACAAAGTGGGCTATTTTTTTATTTTTAATTTTCTTCTTAATAATGATTGGATCAAATTCTAAGTGGGCCAAGCCCTGACAAACCCCTTAGAAGATCCGCCCCTGCCTAACACAATTTGGTATTGGCCCGACTTACTCATGGTGACTTAGTGACTTGCAATCGATCAATCTTATTTGACTCTTTATTTTTAATTTGATTGCGTATAGCCCTATTTTTTACCGAATTGAACCCAAAACAAGTTCAATCAATAACTTAATATTAAAACAGACATCGAGAGCGACACGTGTCACATCTTGGTGTTGTTTTGTCCCTCCAATACTCCCATTCCCAAAAGTTCTCCACAAGATTTGAACTCACAACTTCTAATTCAAGATCTAAATGTCTTACCACCAAGTTATGTGATTCTTTATGTAATCTTTTGAATACAAAATATTAATACATAGCAAATAATAATATGAATAACACATTTAATTACAAGAAAATTAAATCATAAATTGCAATGTATATTAATGATCAGTTAGTTTCATGTTATAACCCGGGCATCACATGAGCCCAAAAACTAGTTCCTTTTTATTTGGTGTTCATAATCATTCAATATACATTTACCAAAATAATTATTTCAACTTATTTAAAAAAAGAAATAAAAAATTTCAACTCCTTTTTAACTATCTTTTAAATGGAATATTATTAGATTTTGCCAAAAAAAATTATAATAAATTGATTCATATAATAGATGTTAAAAGAAATTACTTTAAAACTCACTTTATTATTATTATTTTTTTCCAAATACCTCTAGCTAATATTTTATTTCAATTTAATATAACTTTGTTTATGAAATTTTACTATTATACGTGCATATTATCACAAATTGATTTATAGAGTATAGTATAGCTATAAAATAAATGTTGTGTTTTAACGTACAAATGATTTTTTAGATATAAAGGTGATATATTATTTGTAATTTTATGTATATTTGCACTTTTGCTAATAATTTTAGTGAAGATATTAGTTTGTTGTTCGATTGATGATGTTTATTAAAAATGCATTTATAAATAAGTATTTACTAATATGACCACTATGCCTGATGAAAAAAGTCCAGCCTGAAAAATTCTCGAGTTTGGACAAACTTAAAAATCCATTTTTCAGATAATTTGTTGCTTTGCCTATTAATATAGTTTTTTTTTTTTTTGAATAACCTATTAATATAGTTTATGACATTATAATTTCTATATATTTGATTTGAATTTTATTTGTTGGATATAATTAATTTTCCTTAAAAAAAAATTAGAGTTATCGTGCATGATACGGACTTTAAGCTATTCAAAACTAATCTTGAGTTTAATACCAAAAATTGGAACAATTTGGTCCAATTTCGTTTCTAGACCCGCCGGTTCTTAACCGGTTCATATTCCAATTTCGGGTCCCCGGATTTTTTGCTCACCCCAGCCCTATCTGCACACATTCATGTACACTTGATGAGTTGATGGCGGAGGTCCAACTACTAGTAAGTCAGGTAACTCACGTGAATCTCTCTCTCTCTCTCAACCGTTATCCTGTCTGCTTTCTTCTTTCTCGCGCGTTATACTAATCCCAGTACTCCAGCAGGACCAAAAATTGTAGTGTTTCAGTCTCCAAATAGTGATGTTTCCTAGAATCTTTTTATTCATTTTCGGTAAGCTCTCTTTTTCTTCTCTTTTGCATTTTGTCCTTCTTTAAGTTTTTCAATTATTTATTTTTTAAATTTATTCTCATGCTGCTTCAAATTTTTAAGGGGATAAATTGGTTTTATACTCTATCATACCTTGTCACATAAAATACCTTTGGGTTTAAGGTGTAGATGTAAATATGTAATACGAACCTCCTGATAGTTTGTGTATTGTATCCTTAATTAATAATATGATCAATATGATGCTAAGTGAGTTAATGTGATATAAAAATACACAATGTAACACTAACCTTATCCAAAATTTATTGCCTTCCTCCTAAATCTTTGTTCATGTCATGATGTCTTTTAAGCCTATTTGGTACCAAAATGCATACATGGAAGTTATTTGAGGATTGAATTGAATTCTATATATTTTCCTCTGACTCAAGCGCGGTTTTAAGAGAACAGAGCATGAAGAATGTGTTTGATTGATTTGGAGGAAAAAATATTTTAAACTTAGAAAGAAGAGAGAGAGAGGATAGGAAAGGAGGAAGAGATATGATTTGTTTTATTTATTTTACTTGAATCTTGTCCAAGAAACAACTATGTTAAAGTTTGAAAACCAAACATAACAAGTACTTTTTCTTGCATTCCATTTTATTCTTTTTTACCTGAGAACAACATGAGCAAAATTTACATAATAGTCCATGAATTTTTAGACATTCCCTTCTGCTTGAGAACAATACGATGGCCAAGTTCGTAGTAAACAAATCTGCAGGTCTACATTTACCATTTCATTTCATTTGTTTCGACGTTGGAGTTTTAGATACTTATTTGTACCATGAAAATCTTGTGCATATTCTTAAAAATTTGCCAATGATGCCTCTTTCATTACAGGATTGGGTCACATTATATTGGCTTTGTGTACCTGAGCTTGTGTTTACAAAAAGAGTGGAAAGAGATAGCGTGTCTGTGTACGTTATTAGCCTGTGAACTTACCTGATGTTTAAAAGGTCACTAATTAGGAATCCGAAGGCTAAAGGCTTCAGGGTACAGCATGCTATCCAAACATGTTTGCTGACTATATTCAGTATCTGGATAGTATATGAGCTTAAGCTCCTCCTGGTCAATGTTAACAGTAGAAAGACTGGTCTTATTTCCTCTGATGATTCGGAGAATAAGCCAAAGTACATGCCTAATAAACAATCAAAGCTGACAAGAAAAAGCCTTATTCGAGTTGAAACTGTAGTTGCCAGTTTTCAAAGTGATAAGGATGAAGAAAAAGAAAGGAGTTCCGAGAAAAGTAAGGACGAGAAGTGGGATGATGGAGAAAAGGAGAAAGCAGAAATGAAGATGGAAATGTCGAATCATGAGATTGGTGAAGAGGCTGAGACTGCGAATCAGAAAAATGGAATCTACACAGCAGAGGATATCAAGGAACAGTCAGCATTGACATTTGCAAGAGGAAGGGATGAATTCGAGTCTTTTGAGTATTCTGAATCAGCTTTTGACCAAGATGGAAAAGATGATAGTTTCAATCTGGAAGTCATGGAAGAAACCAACAGAATAAAAAATATTCCTCAAGAGGAAGCTGATCAGTGACAGAATGGAAGTAATTTGGTAATTACAGCATTGTGCCTTCCTTTTTTCTTCAATTGCTAATATATTCGTGCTTGTTATTCAATAGGATTCAGTCTCATTAGAAACTGTTGAGTTTTAATAGTTCAGAGAAGTGAATGACCAATCAAGTATAATATATATCCTAAAGATTTCTAATAAAATGTATATCATATGTATGTATTCAGTCATTCAGCATAAACTCCTACTGACTGTACGTCTATCAAATCTGTGTTTCTCAATTGTTAAAATAATTACTTCGAACATGGAAAAAAAATCATGGTACCATTTGACTGCTGATTATTGTTTTTAAGTGTACGTTTCCTCCTATTATGTGATTGGTGTTGGTAGATAATGCTCTTAATGCTTTTTTCTGATCTTGATATGTTACTCTATGATTGTAGTTTCTATTGACAAAATTTCATTCATCCTTGACCTGTTATGCTTGTAGTCTGCAAGCTTGGTGTTATTTTGCAATTGACTGGACTATTTTTAACAGTTATCTTGGTGGTCATTCTTAACGTAAGGGTCATTTCTGAAGTCATACGAACCATTTTTGTTTTGTTTGTTTGTTTGTTTTTTTTTTTCAGCTTCAGATGTTTGTTCTATTTTCAATATAGTACAAACTGATTCTTAGCCTCCTAATTTGATGGACTGTGCATGATTATCTATATCGACAAGCACAAAAGTCAGTGATCTCACCTTCAGCGATTCAGAGAAATTATAAAGTTTTTCTTCCGTCTCATATTTTGGCATATAATTTCCTATGAGGTAGCCATATTATTAGGTGAAGAAACAGAAAGCTTAAGCTGCTGTTATTTAGGACAGATGCTCAACAAACAGCTATAGCTAATCGACTGCCATAGCCCATCAAATATCATGCACACAACTGCATTTTGATATTATCAGTTGTCCACCCTACAACATCTTTACATCATGATTTGAAGCGAGGAATATGGATAAGTATTCAACCCATTTAACCAAAGATCATAAATTACAACAAATTCCTTATTAGATTCAATAAACTGTCTAAATCAGTCTGGTAGTCACCTGAAAATGTCTAAGCTGTCATATTCAATATAAAAACCAAGTTTCCTAGTGACCCAAAATGCAAATCCTGCCATTGCTAAATTTTATTCATGTTTACATGAATGCCAAAGTGCCAACTTTCCTAGCTTTTTGTTAGCTACTTTTATACATCAGTAAAAGCTACTATAATGAATTCTTCAGGTGCTCTATTTATGATCTAAGATAAACTCTAATACTACTGTTGACCTTACATGTTTTGATGATGACTCAAGGAACCTAAGCAAACCTATAACAAGTTTAACTTTCGGTTTTAGTTTTGATTTATGACAGGTTTGTGCTAGGAAATTCTTGAGTGAGAAGGGAGCATGGAACAAGATCAGAGCTAGCTATGGAAGAATAAAGAAATCAATCAAGTCGTGTTCCTTGAAGGGAACTAAAGCTCAAGAGTTTAAGCTTCAAAGGAAAGTTCCTTGGGTGAGGAACTGCAGCTTCAGAGTCGAACCTTCTCACAGTATCAAGGAGTCTAATGTAATTTATCTTTACTTTAGGCAACTTGTATTTATGTTAAGTACATTACAATTGATAGGATTTAAGTGGATTTAATTTAATTTGATAAAGATTTTATTTTCCATATTTTAACTTGTTTTAATTTTATTTCGAAAAATATCTTTTTAGTTAAAAAGATTTTCTGTTTTAATTCTATCCTATTATTTTGGAAAATCTAATTTGGAAAATATTCTTTATAAACGACTGTTTAACTTGGTCAAGGAAGTTGAGAGAAAATAGGAAGCAGTAAACCACTTCCTTGTAATGTGCTCAGCTTGCTGCCCAAGCATCCACGAATTGCACTTCCTTAGTTTAAGGAAGTTGTGATTAAGTGGTGATTAAGACAACTACGATTTAACTGCCAAACTCTTTTATAAATAGCCTTAGTTTTTAGTTGGAAAAACACACTTGAGCATTACAGTCTTTTAGCTTTTGAAAAAGTCATAATCCACTTAAATCCTTGAGTGTCTTTGTACTTAGCAATTTAGAGTTTAATCTTTGAGTTGTATTGGGTTAGAGTTTGGGGAAACTCTAACAGTGTTTTATTGCTATGAGTGAAGCAAGGAGAAAGAGAGAGAGTTTGAGAGTTCGACTGATTGAGGGATCAGTTGAAGGGAGCTTAAATTCATAGAGGAACTTGAGTTTAGAGTCTTAATTTGTAATAGGTTGCTTGCCCATTATTATTAAGAATTGAGTTTAAAATCCCTTGTGGTCGTGGTTTTTCTTCTTGATTAGGGCCAAGAAGTTTTCCACGTAAAATCTCTCTTTGCACTTTTAGTTTTTATTTAAGTTCCTTTATAAATTCCGAAAAAATTACCCTAGTTCCTCTACAATACAATTCACCCCCCCTCTTGTATTGTTCATTCGAGTCAACAATTGGTATCAGAGCCTGTTCCTCAAAGAAATCAGGAAACCCTGACGAGTTAAGTTCCTGGAAGCAACATGAACAATCACGAGAAACTGGAAGAAGGTTACTCTACGCAGCGTCCTCCTAAGTTCAATGGGAAGTTCTACACCTATTGGAAGAACAAGATGGAAATTTTTATCAAAGCTGACAACTACCAAGTTTGGAGAGTTATTGAAGTTGGTGATTTCGAAATCACCAAAACAGTTGGTGAAAATGAGGTAGTACCTAAACCCATGTCGGAGTTTGATAAGGAAGATTTTGAAAAAATGGAAATTAATGTGTTTTGGGGTTTTTTGTACGTACCCAAATGGAGGGTGTGTACGCCCCTCGGGAGACAGATCTTCAATGCAACACTCGAACGGCCCGATCACCTCCGACAATCAAGTCAGTGACCAAAATAATGTATTTCAGAGAGAGAAAATAGAGAGAAGAGAGAGTAATTGTGGGGGGCATTGCCCTTGGTGAAAGAATTGGATCCCCTGAAACTGATGTAATGATCAGTATTTATAGAGTATTGGGATATGTGCCTCTTCGGTTATTTAACCTAGGTAGATTGGCTTCCCACCGTTTTACGGTTTCTAGGGTTGTGGGTTTAAAGCCCATTTTCACCCTTCTATCATTGAGTGACACGTGTCATGCTCTAATTGGCTCATTGATCGCTGAGCTTGCGGACACGTGCCGAGGTGACATTGGTCCACATATAGGGGGTATTTTTTACCCCCAAACATTAGCCCCTCGGAAGGGGTAATTTCTTTTTCAAGAGGAATTACTCCTTTCGAAATCAGGGCTTTATTTTCCGCTTGTTCAAAAGCGCTATGGCGGCATATGTCTAGTTCAATAAAAGAGAGATTTGATTAACTTGGAAAATTTGATACCTTAAATGGTATGATATTTTCTATGTTAATCAATCATAATAATGATTGCCGCCTGAACTAGACAGATGACGACTTTAACTTCTTTTAGCCCCACTATGGTGGTCATATGACCTTCGGGTGACTTAGAATATTTTTGAGACGTTTGACATCCCATAAGGAAGGAGGCAAATGGCCGCCTGATAGGGCAAGAGGCAAATGGCCGCCTGGGGGCAGGAGGCAAGTGGCCGCCTGACTATTCATAGGGAAGGAGGCAAATGCCGCCTGGGGGCAGGGGGCAAATGGCCGCCTGACCCTTCACTGGGCAGGAGGCAAATGGTCGCCTGACCCTTCACTGGGCAGGAGGCAAATGGTCGCCTGACTCTTCACTGGGCAGGAGGCAAATGGCCGCCTGGGGGCAAGAGGCAAGTGGTCGCCTGACTATTCATAGGGAAGGAGGCAAATGTCGCCTGGGGGCAGGAGGCAAATGGCCGCCTGACTCTTCATAGGGCAGGAGGCAAATGGTCCCCTGACTCTTCACAGGGCAGGAGGCAAATGGCCGCCTGACTCTTCATAGGGCAGGAGGCAAATGGCCGCCTGGGGGCAGGAGGCAAATGGCCGCCTGACTCTTCATAGGGCAGGAGGCAAATGGCCGCCTGGGGTGTTTGTAATCCAATTACACTCTTAATGTCCTTCTACCCCATTGGGAGGACTTGTATAATTTCGGAAGGTAATCTAGGTTAGAACTTTGGTCGATCACCGGCTGATGTCTTTTGGACATCCGGTTCCCGAAGATGGTCGTTCTTTAGATTACCCAGGTGAGGCGGCTATGAGTTTACCAATGAGGTCGTTCAATTTTTGCCGCCTGCATGCATACGTAAAGAAAATGATAGAGTGCTTTCTGCGACGATTGCACCCGGAGGGGTGTCACCGGACGCCATATTTCACATTGGAGCAGACGAATTTACCAAAACGTATAACCATCCGGCCATTAGCCTCATGTCCTTTTCAAGACGGTTGTATAGACATTGCACAATCTTTTTTCCCCAATGGGAGAGTCTGTGTAATTTTGGAATGAAAAGCCTAAGTAAGAACTTCGGTCGGTCACCGACTGATATCTTAGGATATCCGGTGTTCCGAAAACTTAGTCGTTCTTTAGATTGTTCTGGTCAGACGGCTATGAGTTGACCAATTTGGTCGTTCAATCTTTGTCGTCTGCATAGGTACGTAGAGCAAGCAAGTAGGATGCTCTCTGCGACGATCGCACCCGGAGGGGTGTCGCCGGACGCCATTGTCCATGTTGGGACAGACGATTTTTATGAAAAAAGCAACCATCCGGCCATTGGCCTCTGGTCTAGGTTGAGATCGGCTATATAGCCACTAAGCGGTTTTGTGCCTAGTTTAGTTATCTGGCCATTGGCTGCATGTCACTCAGACGTTGAAATCGCTACTAAGTTTCAAACTTAGTTTATTATCCGGCCATTGGCCTCACGTCACTTGGACGTTAGTTTAGCTACTAAGTTTCAAACTTAGTTTATTATCTGGCCATTGACCTCACGTCACTTGCACGTTAATTTAGCTACTAAGTTTTCAACTTAGTTTATCATCCGGCCATTGGCCTCACGTCACTTGGACGTTAGTTTAGTATCTACTAAGTTTTTAATTTAGTTTATTTTAATGCATCAACATTATTTAGAGGAGAGTAAGTCAATGTTACCTCAAATATTCAATACTTGATGCTTAACCCATGTAATTGGGTAGCTTAGCCCTTGAAGAACCTTGGAAGGCCGACTGCCGAGCTTAACCAAATGCGAAGGTTGCTTAACACTTATGCCGCCTGACCATTATACTCCCAAAGAGTCGATCTCCCATATATGCATGCAGCTTCTCATACTTATATCGGTGAGAGTAAGATACTCTTGAGGTGATGTTGCTTCACTTATATGAGAGAGCAGCTTCACATTATT